CTTTGGTAGAATAGTATATAGCCATGAAGTAGAAAGAAAGCACTATCATAGATTACTTGAGTAAATAAAAGCTTTGAAATCTTTTTGGGGGATAATTTGCTCCATTCATCCTAAAACATATCCTGGGGAACTGAGAAAAGCTCCCCCCGGCCGTTTCCTTCCACCATCCAGTTGGCCTGTTTGTAAATTGGTTTCATGAAATATTAAATTTGAAAATAATTATCAAGTTCAGCTTTAGAAATAAAGTAGCTTTTTCAATTCTAAACTTATTACTTAAAATTCTAAAAAAAGAGATAGCTAATTTTTAGAACTGTACATTTCCATGTGATTTTTTGTACACTGATAATTTCTAATACATGTGCACAAGTGCAGGTGCCTGTGGTACCCAAAAGAGAGTGTTGGATCCCCTGTAGCTGGAGTTATAGGCAGTTGTGAACCACCCTATGTGGGTTCTAGAATTGAACTTGGGTCTTCTGCAAGAGCAGTACACATTTTTACCCTGAGACATTGCTCCAGCCCCATTTGTGATAATCTTATGCAAAACTTTCTGGTGTTCATGTTGGCTTTCTTTATGTAATCACAAAAGTGGAGACTTTCCTGTACTTGAAGATGCTATTTTGGCTTATACAACCTTGCTACTGTGACCAGTTATGTCAGGGAGCTAGGCCAGAAGCTAAGCCACCAAAAAGAAAAGAGCAAAGCTGCACACGGCAGTCTGTTAGGGCATCAGTGCCCAGCTCAGTTACAGAGTACCTTTCAGAGCTTCCAAGCACCAGAAAGTTTCCTTGTGTGAGCAGATGGGGAGGAATAACCTTTCATTTCAGAGGAAGTCAGGTGGGCCCAGCAAAACAGATTTTGTGCATGGTAAACTCCCTCCCCCTGTGACTTAATGGCAGTCAGTAAAACAAGCATTGAACCAAAATTGCCTTTCAGTATGTGGAGCTGTAGCATCCCACCTGTGATTTTAGCCCCAAAACAAGAAAAGGCAGGTGTTGCTGGAACAAACATGATGAGCTCCTGGACATCTAGGAGCCAGGGGCCTCAAACATCACCTCATTTAGTCCTTACGGCAATCTGGGAGGTAAATGTAATTAATATTGTCCCTTTTCTAACAAATAAAGAAATAAAGGCTTAGAGGAATTTGTCCAACACTCAATGACTTCATAATTGATAAGATCTTTAAGTTCAGTTCAAATCGGTCTTCTTTCAAAGTCTCAGCTCTTTCCAGACCATCTCCAGAGCCAGGCAAATCAGACACAAGTTCTGTGTTAACACAAGGCAGGCAAGATAAGCAGGTCCCCACTAGGACTTATGAGAACTACTTCTAAAATGAAAGAAAAAAGTCAAGATCCTGCATCCTAGCCAAAATTCAATCCCTATTTGTCAACAAGTTCATATCCTTCAGGAGTTTTATGGGTTTGCCAAGTATTTGAAATTTTGGACTGAGTCCCTGTGTAACTCTAGAGGCAAGACACAAAGAACTGGGTGGGTGGTGGCAGTGTGATGTTCAGTGTCTTGAGAGAGGAGGATTTGGTAAAAAAAAAATCTTAAAAGAGAACAGCCAGTGAGGTCAAGAAAATAAGTAAAGGTGGTGACTGGACACTTGGAATAGATAGCATTTTAAGGAGAAAGGCATGGTTAAGAGTTCCAAATGCTTGTGGGAAGCTAAGTAAGGCTAAGGAACTGGACAGTGGTTTAGACAAGTCTATGTATCTAGTTACCTAACAAAGATAGTTTTAGTAGGTTGTGGGAAACTTATTTTCTTGCTTTAATGCATTCTCTGGGTAGGACCTACCACACAGTGATTTTTTTTTAAGATTTTATTTTTATTTTGTGTGTGTGTTTTGCCTGCACATATGTATGTGACCACATATGTACAGTACCCAGAGAGACCAGAAGGTGGTGTTGGATACCCTAGAACTGGAGTTACAGAGGACTGTGAGCTGCCATGTGTGTATTGGGAACCAAACCTAAGTTCTCTACAAGAGAAGCCGTGCTCTTAGCCCTGAGCCATTTCTCCAGCCCCGACGGTGCAAATATGAATTAGGGTAGGATAATGCTTTATTCATTCCTTGTGTGTTTTGTAAGCAGTTCCCAATCTTCCTGGGGATACATTTTTAGCAGAAACTATATTAAATTATACGCTTTCTATATCCTGGAGCACAATGACTCTTCCTTTACATATTTTAGCACTGCATTGCATTTTTTCCTTCCTGGAATCTAAGTTATTGGTGTAATTACAACTTCAGTGTCTATCCCTCTGGTGAAACTGTGAGTCCCTTGGCAATGGTGACTCTATTTGTCTTGTTTATTTCTCTTTTCCTTATTCTTATAATATCTTTTGTAGAGCAAGAACCCCAAAATTCAATTATTATATATCCACGAATTTACTAATGGCTTTTAAGTTCTTTTCCCTTTGTGCAGTAAAAAGCTCAGAAGCGATCTTCCTATATGCTGCTTTCTATTGCTTCCCCTTGGCCCTACTTACCATTGACCCCACAAAGAACAACACACAACAAAAAGGACAGTAGTTCAAAGACAGAGTTTTTAAAAAAGCAATGCAGCACAGCATCCCAACTTCACTTTCAATAGCACATTTTAAGGAAGAACAAGGAATGGAAAGCCGCGGCGGGGAGCCTTGTAGGATAGGGGAGGAAATCAAACGCAGCAAGGAAATGAGAAAGAGACCCATTAACTTCTGTGTGAGATTCCATTTTCCTTTAGTTGGCTCTGGAAATAGCATGCAGAGTTGGATCATAGGACAACACAGTCCACTCTGCCTCTGCCAACCACCAATTACAGAGTATGGACAGACTCCATTTAAGGGTTACAGCTAAGCTACTTATATATTCTGAAAGTACAACTGATAATTTGTTCTATGTTTACCTTATGTCTTCAACATTGCTCTGATGTTCAGAGCTTTAGAAGAAATTTATCACTAAATATACTCTTCTAAGAAAGAACGTCTAACCAACCCATTGTATACAACTTCATCAATGCAACAGCACTTCAACCACAAAGCTCTTGCAGCTCATAAATTATATAATTAATTATATTCTAAAGATGTATATATATTTCCATGAATAATATATTCTGATAAATCAAATCAGTGAAGATAATAACATTATCTGTGATTCCTGGAAAGTTTTAAATGGTGATTTTTATTTTCAGGGTCTCCCTGTAGCCCCAGCTGTCCTGGAACTCACTATGTAGACCAGGCTGGCCTTGAACTCACAGAGATCTGCCTGCCTCTGCCTCCCGAGTGCTAGGATTAAAGGTGTGAGCCACCACGCCCGGCTTAAATGGTGATTTTTAAAATAAAAATATAACAAACTTAATCATACAGGGCTCCTTTAGATGGTTCAGAGATCTTAACTTCTTCAAAAATTTTACATTTGCCCTTTAATGCAGGTTTGTATTTTAGCAAAACCACTGTGTTACGGTGCTTTCACTGGGCTCTGTCTGATATGTATCTCCCACATCTCATTAGGGATGTTCCACACTGCCTTCTCACTCAACAGTGTGGTTTTTCTCTACTTCACAACCTAACAATGAAATAGACAGAAAAGGCATTTTGTTTATTTTAGAGATCAGAAAACTGGGTGATTGTTCCATTAATTCTAATTAGTGATGCAGAAGAATCACAGACCAAATGAGTCTTAGGGTTTGAATTCACGTGCGTTAAAACAAGAATCATAACTAGGCATCCACCATTTTGAGGATGCCTGCTATGAGTGAGACGAGATGCTGCGTTTAATAATTCACTGGCAGGCAGCAGGACAGAATCTCTTCTTCTCTGGTGGTGTTTACAATCTGCTCCACCAAATTATTTATCCTGTGATCTGGATCACTGAATTACTTTATTAAATATTCAGCAATATCACTGGCAATGTCTACCTTTCTGTCTTTGTAAAAGAATTGCATTAGGAAGGTAAGAAGAAGAAGTCCAGGCCTTAGAAAATAATACAGAAGAGTTCACCATAGCTCCAAAGGAGATTTTTAAATAATATTTTATTTATTATTTTTATTTTATGTGTATGCGTGTATTGCCTGCACATAAGTAAGTGCACCCATGTTGTGCAATGCCTGTGGAGGACAGAAAAAGCTGTTGGATCCCCTGGAACTGGAGTTGTTAGCTGCCATGTGGGTGCTGGGATTTGAACCTGGGTCTTCTGCAAGAACAGTCAGTGTTCTTAACCACTGAGCCATCTCTCCAGCCACCACCCCAAAAAGGAGATTTTTAACTTTTATATAATGTAGTTCTTCCCACAACTGAGGGTTTTCTCTTTTTCCTCCTTTCCTAACATTTCCCTTCCTTTCTCTCCCTGTTTCCCCCTCCCCTTTTTGGATATAAGGTCTTATGCAACTCTTGCTAGCCTTGAATCTATTCTATATCCAAGAATGACCCTGAGTTCCTGATCCTCCTGCCTCTACCTCCCAGCTGATGGGATCACCTGCATCACCACCATGCCTCAGTTATACAGTGCTAGGGATCAAACCCAGGCCTTTGAGCATGCTTGTCCAGCACTCTACCAACTGAGCTCCAACCCTAGCCTCCACACTTGAATTTTCAATGGAAATTTCTTTTCTTTTTCTTTAGATGTTTACTAAAAAGGAAACAAGAAAGAAAGCAAACAAGGAAAGACTACTGGCAAATTTCTATTCATTCCATACTGGCCTACCATCAAGTTGCACTTGAAGAAATTCTACCCACTCTGAGAACTGGAGCAAGCCATTTAATTCTTCTAAATTGATTTCACACCTGAAAAGCCTGAACAATAATATCTGCTTTTGCTACATAAAGTTATTGTGAAGAATGAATTAGCTCCAGCACAGGGAAGTGATGTTCAAATGTGAAGACACGGTATGGGAATTCTCAAACCTGCAGTTAGTGTGGAATTAAATGAGCATACTTTCCCATTTCCTACCATTCTAAACTTACTGAAACAGACATTAGAAACAGAATAGAACCATCATGAAAGATCCACATCTTCTCTTACCGGGTCTATTAGCTGAGAATAGAGTTCGTGGCAGTTGTCAAAAATATACTTGTATGTTGAATCCAGACAGGCTCTGACACAATCCTTCACCACTGTGCTGGCTTTTGGGGGGCTCTGCAGCTCCAGAACCTGACGGACAAATCATTTTCTTAAACACAGTAGAATGCTCTAACACACTGAAGACATTTAAACAATATTCAAGTCGTGCATTGAGTTTATTTGACTAGGTTTAAGAAACATGGCCTGAGAAATCTTTTAAAAGGGCTGATGAGATGACTCAGTGGGAAAAGACAGTTGGCCAACAAGTCTGATGGCCTGAGTTCAATCCCTGGGGTCCACATTATGAAAGAAAGGAACCAACTTCTACACTTTTTCCTCCGACCTCTGCACGTGTTATAGCATGGGTACCCCACCACCAAGAAATAAGAAGAGCAAGATGATCTAACTTAATTTCCTTTTAAAAAGCACCCTTTAACTCTTCATTGACAGATTGCATTTACAGAAAACACCATCTCGGTTAAAATCTCAGTAATACCTAAAATCAACTAAGCTATAAGAAAAAAAGAAGAAAACCAGTATAGGAATCCACTCTAAGAGTTTAAGATTTTCTATAAAGCTTCAATAGCCAAACGGTACAGTGATGGTACCAGTGGATGTGTAGACAGTTAAGCAGTATAGCATTCAAATTAGACCCAATTAACATAATAAATTGATTTCATTTAAATAGTACAAAGACAAATCAACAGAGAAAGAAAAACTTTAAAATAGTTTCAAGCTATTGTCTATATATGCAAAATCACCCGTGTCCCTCATTTCGCACTGTATCAAACAGAAAGACCCCCCTGAAGTCCCCAGTAGAATGGGAGCCAGGCCTACGTTTAAAAGGTAAATGAAGACTTTTAGAAGAAACAGCAGAGGTTTTGGTAATTTGGTTTAGCTAAAAGCATTGTCTGTAGATGGAAAAATTGATAAAGCAGACCACAGCTAGAAAGTTCTGCTCTGCCAAAGACACCTCTGAAAAAAAAAGAGCCACCAGGAAGCACAAAGATGGAAGTGAACCATGTATCTGGAGAAGGCAGGATCCAGAAACCTAGAAAGAATTCTCAAAATCCAAAACCATCGTAGTTCTGAAACATCCAATGAGAACAGAATTGTCACCATGAAAATGGTAACTTTGTGAGGTAACAAACGTGCTAATTAGCCAGATTTAGCCACGCCTAAAACATTTATTTCTAAAAACATCATGAACATAATAAATAAATATAATCTTATCTTGCAATTCAAAGAAGGGAAAGCATGTTCAATAAGAAAATGACCTAATAAAATGGGCAAAAATTTCCACAGATTATTTTAAGATAGGAAATAGGGCCAAGAAAAGAAAATCAACAATTACAGAAATGTAGTCTACAGTATAACACAACTTCACTCCCATTATAAGATGAGACAGACAGGTAGGTAGATATATGTACATACAGGTAGGTAGGAAACTACATGAGCTTCGCTAGAAGATCCAGAGCAGAGGGAACACTGTATATTGTGGCTCTATGTTTTACCCAAAGAGGGTAAAAACTTGTGTTTACATAATAAACCTACATGTGCATTATTTACCTTTCATTTGTAATAACCTCAGACTGACAACAACCCAAATGTCAGGCAACTAGAGAAAGCGTAAACAACCTAAGGTCTGTCCATAACAGAGTCACTACTTGGCCACAGGAAGGAACAGAACTGGGTTGGAGAGATGGCTCAGCAGTTAAGAAAACTGGCTGCTCTTGTAGAGGAGCTGGGTTCAGTTCCCAGCATCCACATGGCAGCTAACCACCTTCTGTGACTCCAATTCCAGGGGATCTGACAGCCTCATCTGTCCTCCTATGTCACTGTATGCAAATGGTGTACATGCATACATATAGACACATTAAAAAAAAGAAATTTTTAGAAAGGAACAGACTGTAAATATATCAACAGTACAGAGAGAGCTCCAGGGTGCTGTGCTGCACAGTAGATGTCCTCACTTACATATCCTTCCAGGAAAGGCAAACCTCTAGGCAGAGACCATCAGTGTGTGCCAACAGTGGAGTGGAGAGGGGCTGACTACAGGGGGGAAGCACAGGGAATCACAGGGGCTGGTGAAACTGCTGTATAGCTCACTGTCACAGTGGTTATACAACTGCACATTTCTCAGAATTCATAGAACTACACGTTGAAAAGATCGCTTCTTACTGTGTATAACAAGAACTAAAGATAGTCAGAGGCCAGCATTTGCTCTAAAGACAGTGGAAAGAGACTAGAGAGGTCACTGTGTTGAGCAGTTTGGAACTGGGGTAGAAGCTGCAAAGGAGCATGGAGTCAAGCAGTGTTTTAAAGAAACTAAAAGCATATTTGATAATGAGTGGGAAGTTGATGATCCAGAATGTGGGGAGGAATCTAGACCAATCATAAGGGTGGAGAGACTGCCTTTTCTAGAAAACGGAGTGCTCAGTGATGCTAATAGAAAGGAGGAGGAGCCTAAGGGACACAGAGAAGGTGGGCTGGTGCTGGGGCTGAGTCCTGGACACTAGAGGGTGCTCTCTTTTCTTTGTTCCTTTCTTCCAGGAGATAAGCATCAAAATCCTTTTGAATTCTGGGTGGGGAGAGCATTGGCATAAGCTCAGCACTGGAGTGGCTCTCCTGCCACCTGGCCCCTGTTCTCTCCCTCTGCAGGTAGCTCTTGTCCCCCCAGTCACCTTTCCCACAGAGCCCTAACTGGGTGTCACCATCATTCTCTGCACTTTGTCACAAAGAGATCAGAAGAGACACTTGTTTTAAAGTGACTTTGAAGAAACCGCATGATCACCAATAGAGTATGCTTTTTAAAAAAAAAAATCCATTGCAAAGTGCTATTTTTAGTGTTTTGGGTGACAAAAATTACACACAACTGAAAAAAAAAAATAGCCTGGTATATTGTCCTAGAACTTCCTCATCAATTCTCACAACACTTTTTATTTCAAAAAGAAAATTTAGCCCATATCATGTGAGCTGTCTTTGAAAGCTTTATGTAATTTAACTGCTGTCCCAAATGACGACGGCCCAGAACTTGGTGGTAAAGCAGAGGTACTTGGTACTAGAGCACTCGGTATTAAGGTACTCTGTATCTAAACAGAAATGCTTAGAGAGTTTGGTAGAGAATAGCCAATTACAGCAGTGAACCAGACAACTAAGTGTATTCCAACATCAGCACTGGAGAGGCTGACCTGGCTGGTACAACGGGGTGAACAGGAATCAACTCCTTTCTCACTGTGATAAGTTATCAAAACATTTCAAAAAAGAGGAACAGGATGCTGGGGAGTTAGGGAGGTGGGGTGGATCTGGGAGGAGTTAAGAGATGATTTGGGGTTGAGTATGATCAAAATATATGAAACTCTCCAAGAAAATGCAAATATTTATTTAAAAATCTAAAATTGAAGAACTCCATTTCACTTAACAGTTTTTGCTATTTTTAAAGCCATGTCCACTAACCAGAGAGCTTTGTTTGAGGTAAATTTAATTTAAAACTAAACTGAATCAAATGTCACTGTCTTAAGTAACTAGGAAAACTTCTTCAAAACACCCGATATGTTTCCAATATGTTGGAAAATTCATTTAGCATAGGCTTAGTGGCTGAGGCTGGACTGAACTGGTGAGGAAACCTCTATCAGGAAATGACTGTGTTTGTATATCACACCAAGACTGCAGGAAGATGAGATACCTTCATCCTGAAGAAGGTGATGCTGGTCAGCAGATCCACGGTGGACTTGAGGTCCTGCAGTCTCTCACTGTTGCTGGCGGGAAAGTTTTCCTGGTTAAGTAGGAAACAGAAATGGATAGAGTTGCTGACAGTGTCAAGTGGGAAGACAAATGAAAACCAGTTTACCGTGAAAAATAAAAGTAGGAAATAAGCTACATAAATTAAATGTATTCTAAAGTTCTCTTAACATGCTTTATATCATAGAACATTCTGAAAACAGATTTAGAAATGTGTGTTCTGTGACTGAGAAAGCCGTGTCCTTTTGTTTATACTCAGGGCGCCCATCTCAGTGCTATAGTCACTGCTAAGTTGCCTTTCAAATAGTAAATAGCCCCTACCCATGCCTGGGCAACACACCCTAATTAAACTCATCTAGAGCAGACATACGGTTTACCTTGTGGAAAACCATTTTGGACCTACCCGGTACTTTGACAGGTCAATCCTTAAAGAGTTATGCAGCTGGTCCAGTAGTTTTATGAATTTTTCCTTCTGTACCAAGAAAACACAAAACATAAGGATGGAAATCAGTAGCCAGCCTCAATGCCTTTCTTTCTCGGACAATCCACCAATTCTTGTTCCCATTCAGGGAAGGTCACTGATGGCAACAATGTGTCTAAGGTCACAGAGCTGTGCAAACCAGGTGGCTTAACAGCCTTTCCCAAGCTCAGGTCTCTGATGCTTGTCCATGCTCTTCCCAATAAAGCACACAGTGCCTCTGTGTAATAATGGAAAGGTGCAGAGTTCTAGTGCCCAGAGTTATTCTGCAGAGGGCTCGCAGAGATGAATTTTTATTGAACCACTCTCTACGTAAGGACTCACAATACTGCAATGTATCAGCCAATGAAAATACAACCCACCCCTCACTCTGCTCCTGATTGCTACTCTAAGCACACAGAAAACTAATTACAGATTAATGTCTCACAACTATGGGGTGGAAACAGGTATTGTTTGTGTCAAAAACAATTTCTAAAGATATTTTTCTTTTAGAACCAAGTGTAGACTTAATAATCTGAAGGAATCAGTTGTTTTCAAAGGGTATTTATGACTTAGTCCTGTAAATAGTATAAAAATTGAGTCCCTCATTCCCTCCGCTGCCTTTGGGCTTTGTCAGTATTGGACTGAACTCACAGAAGGATTTGAACGATGAGGGTAAAGAGTTTGGTTACTAGGTTTAAAGTTGAAATTGTGTGCATTTAATACAAACAAGGGGAAAATATCAAAGTTACCTCACATAAACTCTATAGTAGTGCCTGAGTTTCCTTTGCTGTGGCTGTGATAAAATTCTCTGACAAAACCATCTTACAGGAGAAAGGGTTTGTTCTGGGTCAAGTTCATGGCTACAGCCCACCATCGCAAGTTTAGGGGCAGGAACTTGAGAGTTTGTTACATCCATCGTCAACAGCAGGTAGACAGTGTGCATGCTTGTGTTCTGTTTGCACTCTCCTTTTGTAAATGCTCCAGGATGCAAACCCAGGAGTGGCGTTGCACACTTTTAGGCTGTTTCTTCTCACATCAGTGAACAAAATCAAGACAATCCTCCCCATGCCCACAGGCCAATCTAATCCAAACAGTCCCTCCTTGAGATTCCCTTCCCAGGTGATTTTACATGGTGCACAGTTGACAATTGAAACTAAACATCACAGGTAGACACTGCATTGTTCTGGGCTTTAGTCTAATCAAAATATAAAATGAGGGGCACAGGATTAAGCAAGACAAGTTTTCTGCTGACATAAGTATTCTTTGAATACCAAATTGCATTTTTGAAGGAACTGGCAAAATATAGAAGCTTTTCCTAATTTGAAAGAGAGATTTTAGAGTCACATAACTCTTATTTTAGGAAGTTGTCCATCTTAATGGAGTCACAGCTGAATAGTAACAGAAACTGCTGACTTGTTCCTAAATTAATAGCAGGATTTTTAGTTAACTGCCATCATCAGAGTCACACACCAATGAACAAAGTTTAAGAATTGCCTCTGTTCTAACAAATGTGGAAGAAATGAGTTTTGCCTTCCAAAACTTCCAGAACATTGTTAAGCAGGTTAAGATCACCTTGCCCAACAAAGCTGCTGAGAGAAGCAGATGAACTGAACAGAACCTCTTAGATGATCAGAACTTGGTCTCCATCAGACCTTCCTGGGGAGGCGGCAAGCTGTGCTGTCCTTTATTAACTCCCCCACTTCAATCCATCAAAATGAAAATGAATAGGTAAATAAAAGCTGATATAATAAGTCGGGGCCACAGTAAAGTTAATCATTCAGATGACCAAAAAAGCCATTCTGATTCATGTCACATCTCTGGATGCTTTGCCTGACCTCCATGATTGGCACAAATCATCATGTCAGCTGACCTGACTGGTGAGCTCTGCCATGCCCCAAATCGCTGACCCCGTTCTACCCATCAGGGCTGACTGAGTTGGCCAAAACCCAGAAACCATTTTCCCACTGATTTTTCAGGCGCTAAATGTGCCCAGTGCAAAACACTTACCTAAACTTGAGTTTTCCTCTAGGGATGGCCATGCAAACAGCATAGTTTGGGACAATGAGACATTTGAAAAGATCCCAGAAAGAATGCTTACAGATAAGATATTGCTCATGCTACTTTGCTATAGAAATCTTTACTAAATAAAACTTTCAGTCAGATTGTCCTTTTGCTTTTTGTGGGTCTCTTCTTTAGCTGAGGAAGACACTAGAAGGTAAAGCCTGGTTCATGCCTGTAAGGTGAAAGGCTCAGAAATGGTGAGGCTAGTGGAGTCAGAAGCAGTCCAGACATTCCAATGCCTGCCCTGCTCCTGTCTGTACATGTGTGAGTGTGTGCATATTCGCATATTCACGTCTGATTACACATGTATGCTGGCACTGGTAGAGGCCAGAGGACAACTTTGGGTGTCATTCCACAGATGCCAGTCACCATTTTCTTTTAGTGATATAAGATCTCTCACAAGTCCAGAATTTACCTAGGAGAGAAGGTTGGCTGGTTATTGAGCCCAAGAGAGCCATCCATTTCTACCTTTCTAATACTGGGGTTAGAGGCATGTACCACCATACTTCTTACACGGGTTCTAGGGATTAAACTCAAGTCCTTACGCTGAGTTATCTCCTGGGCCCCTATCCAATCCAAAGTCAAATCCTTCTATCCAAACACTTCTAAAATTGCAATCCAAAACTTTACTAGTTCAGCGTTCCTAGCCTCTAGGCTTAGGTTATGTGTGGCAAATCTATTTAGGGTTTGTAAATGGGCACTTGTGTCTTCTGCGGCTGATCAGAACTCTGCCAGAGTCACCTCACATCTCTTCTCCCCTCCTTGGTCTTCTGAGCACAGCTGGAAAATTTCCATGCAAGGAAGAGAGAAAGCTGTGGAGAAATCGGCTGGGATTATTGCCACAAAATCCCAAGCCACATCCTATGAAGTAAAATTAGAAGCTTTCTGCTGATTGAATTATCAGAGATTCAACAGCAGGGACAGCTTGGGATGTCATTTTATTTACTGATTGCCCTGAGATGGGGGGAGGAGGCCTGCTGCTGCATTGTGTGATCTGAGTCATAGGAGATAGGATAATTAAAACATGTTTCCCCTGAGGGGCGAAGCACCATGTTGGGACGGCTGTGTTTGCTATTCAGCTCTTTGCAGTAGGTAAGGGCTGTACATGCCTGATAGGAGGCAAATCAATGATAACGTGTATTAATTACTCCTTTTCAGAACTTTAGGTTTAGTTCTGTAATCAGAATGCCAAATCCAGTGGCCAGGAAACTGCCAAGGCCTAGAGAGTAAATGTTTTTGACTCTAGGGACTCTGTCACAACTATTCCAATCTGACACTTATAGACAACAGCTATGATAGATGGTAAGTACACAAATGGACATAGCTTCTTGTCAATAAAATTTTATCTATGGACCCTGAAATTTGAATTTTATCTAATTTTCATGTACCAGAAAATCATAAAATTAAAAATTTTTTAACACTTTAAAGTATAAAAGTCATCCTTGGGTTATTGCCCATACAAAATCAGTTGGTGGGCTGAACTGGGCCCCTGTGCAGAGGGAAGGCTAAGGGAGAGACTACCTCATGAGTACAACTTCAGAAAGTTCCCCCCAGGATCTTGGGAGTGGTCAGAAAAAAAGTTCCCGTAAGGAGGGAGCACCAGCCTCTGCACAGCCTCAGAGTCTCTCTCCATCTCCCATCTCACTGTCTTATGCACAGTAGGGCTGAATCTAGCCAGAGGCCAACTCAGGCCAAGCTTCAGGGACCTACCTGCATTAGCAAGTCTGTCAGGAATCCTGCCCATATATTCAGATGATCTCAGGTCTTTGAAACAAATAAGAAAATATTTGGACATGTGGGGCTGGTTAAGAACACTGATCTCTTTTGCAGAGGACCTAGGTGCAGTTCTCAGCATCTACAGGGTGGCTAACTCTAGTTCCAGAGGATTCAAAGCTCTCTTCTAGCATCCATGGGCATTGCGCACATGTGGTATACATATATACATGCAGGCAAAAAACTAACACATAAAATTTTTTAAATGTTAAAATTTAAAATATATTCTGACTTGGGATGACAAATTAAAATATTTTCTCAACTCAATCAAATGATTAACTCATTAAGAAGAGAAAATTTCAAATGGAAGTAAAATTTAAGGGCTCTTAATAATTTTGGGGGAATCCAATTAATGTTAATCATGTAAACATATTGAAAATATATTTGTATTTCTTATTCATTTGAGATTAATATTAATATTAACAAAGATATGGTAAAATTATTAAATATCACTCTAATGCTTTCAACCAAAAATTAGTATCTTTCAATTCAAAGTGTTTTTAGAGTTGAATACTTGGAAAAAAATTTACATGCCTCAATTTTTACACCATGGTAATCAGCACCTAAGGCTGACTTTCTCTCTCCCCCCACCCCTCTGTCCCTGGGTCCAGACCTTGCTTTCCTTGGAGCTTAGAAAACTTGTAATTGTATGTTCTTTTTCTGTCATTTTGGTGTGTATATCTTTAAAAACATTTATTTCCAGTTTTCTAATCCATGTATGCCTTCCTGAAAGTGGTAGGAATCATCACTCTGCCAGAGAGCACTCCTGTGTGCCAGCCTCTTTTGGAAGGGAGGAGCCTAATTCTGAGGGGTGTGAATGAGAAAACATACTTGGTTGTCACAGAAAGCACACATCCCACTGGTCCATCCTTTCCCTTAACATCTCCCACAGCATCCTCTCTAATGGCAGCCTATGAAAATCTTCCCGCCTTTCGTTCAGGTGGAATTGAGTGGAAACTATGGCTGGCCTCTCATCTCTACTGAAACAACTTTCACTGTTTAACTTTATCATATGCCATTTTTATATCACCTATGAAATAAATGTGATTGACGTTTTACCAAATTTGAGAAAAGCCATTAAAATGTATTGGGCATTAGGAATGAGTTTTGAAAATAAACTTCTCTAGACTAAAATCTTAAAATCATGGTTAACTCTTTTAGTCAAAAAAAGTATATTT